ATTTCCTCGGCGGGAAGGGGCCATACGCAGAATCCGCCTGGCTTCCCGACTCCAAACCCGCCGGCGCCGGGCCACGCGGCCGGTGCCCTCGCGGTGGAAACGCCAAGCCGCGTCCCCCGCCCGCCCGTCCGTCCGTCCGTCTCGGAGCCTGGACGGCCCCCAGCGCCCGTTGAAAAGGCCCGGCCAATCCCTTCTAGCTTAAAATCAGGCCAGGTGAAGCCGCCGAGGTCCCAAGGCGATCAGGAACATGGCCAGCATCTTTGTGCTAGTTTTAGAAAGAGGTCAGAAGGTCTTCAAAGGCTCTCTTTATTTCATGGCTCTGTTTACCGGGTTCACAAGCGGGGCGGGATTCAACAAGGGGGCCGTATCCTTGGGGAGCGCAGGACGGGCCAGTCCCTTTCCCTGGCGCCTTCTTGGTAACTTGGCGTCCTTATTGCTGAGCAAGTTAAACAGGGAGGTGATCACGTTTCTTGATTGCCCAATCCGTGAAATTAAAACAACAAGAACTCCAAAAAAAACCTCTGGCCAAACTGTGTTCGGGCATTTGACAATTGCAGTTGGGTCTAAGAAAAATAGATTCTCATACCATAAGGTAGATGAGGTTAAAATGGGCCTTAGCTCACACACACGCGCGCGCGCTTTTCACCACAAAGTCAACTGCAGAGAAATGGCTATTTTTCTTGCTTTCGTTTCTCTACCCCTTTACTGTATCATGTCTTTTAAGCCAGCCTTTCTCAACTGAGGGCTGTTTTAAGCGCTGGGAGGTTTACAGTCTGTGGCACGCATGCTTTACAGTTTCATAAGCATGCTTTGAAGGATTTGTGTACCGCTTTCAAAAACAAGTGACGCAAAACAAGCCTTACTAAGGCCCTTTGCCTCTAAACGCAGCGGATTCTCCAAAAGTTCCATGGCAAGTGGATAAATATGGCTTAAGTGCCATCTAGTGGCCACATCAAGAACTACCTTGAGCCAATCAAAGGAATACTGTATTCCTACGAGGATTTCTTCTGGGTTGGCATCGGTGTGGTGTGCTCAGTGCAAGGCTCGCACGTTCAGACTCGATTCTGCCCTTGTGGGTTGCGCTTTCCAGCCCCAGCCTAGCTGCTGAAACTACTCACACGGCTAGTCTGGGTTGTCTCCATGGAGGTGCAATAACAGTTACACTGAAAATATATTTAATAATAAATGTTGCAAAGCAAAAAGGAGCTTTTCCCTCTTGCTGAGTCTTCGTCTATTGTTTAGATTTATATCCTGCCTTTGTTCTGCACAACGCAAGGCAGCATACCTAATACTCCTTCCTAACAACCCTGCAAGGTGGGTTGGGCTCAGAGACCAGATGAAAGTTACCCTGCTGGCTCGCGTGCCTAAAGGAGAACTAGAATCCGTCTCTTCCTGGATGAACGCAAAGTCCCACCCAAGGTATCTTCCAGAAATAAAGCTAGGAACAGCCAGCAGTTCAACCCGGTCTGCCCGCAGTTAAAGAGATGATTACAGAGAATAAAGTCAGACTTCAGCGGGAGACAGCCACTGAAGAAAAGGCTAACTCGAACTCAGGGGTGTAACCAGTCAGAACTTCAGACCGACTTTGCCCTAAATCCCTCTGGGCTTAAACTGGGCTTAGGGTTAGTCACCACCTACTTAGGCATGGAGTTCCACAGGTGATTGGCCGTCCTGACAGCCTGGTTTACCGGCTGCTCCCAGAAGGGACGGGAGGCAGGAAGAGAAGAGAGGAGAAGAGAGAGCAGGACCCTCCCTTCCTTCTCCATCCCCTCCCTCCGTCGTAGTTATTTGGAGCACGGAGCCCGCTCTTCCAAGCCAGCCGCAGGGCCGGTGGGGAGGTCATTTGAAAGGCGATGCCCGAGGAAAAGGGGTGGGGAGGGAGGAGGAAGACAAAAAGACCCGGCCGCCCGGCTTCTCCAAGCACCCCCGAGGTTGCGCCACGGCCGCCCCCTGGCTGTCCAGGGCCGGGCTGGGCTGGCGCGGCGGGGCGTCCGCTCGGGCTCCCTGGA